GGATATAAAGTGAACTGACTGAATGGCAAATAACTGGCAGAACATTATTTGGCCAAGCAGAGGTGAAATAAGTCCTCTGACACATGTGGCTGCCCACAGCTGTTTGTCAAACAACAGAGGGTGAAATACACCTAGCTTAAGCCCTGCTCTGAGTAGCCAAAATGAGGGCAGATGTCTTAAGGGGGTGAAGGCTAGATCCCCACGTAGATCCATTAAGCTTGCCAAGTAAACTGCCGTGGGTCTTGATCTTGGCAGTCAGTTCTATTAGATGGTTATACTGGAGACCTATCAAGAACAGTGCCAGAACATACCAGATGTGCAGTGTGCTGCAGAGGGTATCCTCTGCAGAAAGCACACAAGTCCCAAATGACAGAGGTACTTTGGAAGTGAGAAAAGCACTTAGATGATTTCGAAGCATTCAGCTGCCATCACCTATTTATTACAGCCACAGCTGAATATAGATGCCTTATCAAAACATCTTCCTCAAGGTCAGAAAAGCTCTTATATTCTCATACTCAGGCAGTGTCATCACTGAAGATTAACCTTTCGAAACAAGTTTTGCTGATGTATAAGTTGAATGGGACAAACAATACTACTGAGTCTTGAGCTTACAAGGTTTCTAACAGAAACACAGAGTCAAAGTCTAGCTAAGCAAAAAAACCCAAACTACATTAATGTAGGAAAACAGAATTAATGAAGAATTTTGGACAGTTTCATAGCAAACTAACATGCTGTACTAAATTTTCAATAGACATCCCATGAAGCATTCTAATACCAGCTTTTTTAACTTTATCCGGTGGCTGTTTTCTGCATGACTTCTCAGAAGTACTGTGAACACAACAAAGAAGATTTTGCTATGTGCAGTTGTAGTGCTGCACATAACTGGTAAGATCCACCTGAGGATCTGATAGGGCAACACATGTTAGAGAACATCCTGAACAATGAAAACACCATAGAAATTGAATGTATGATTCAAAGAGAATTTATGGTGCTGATGGAAGCTAGATGGGATAAAAATGTGCAGCTTTAGAAAAGGTATCTGAAGTATCAGTAGAACCACCTGGTCTCTCCTACAGGTAGTTTGCATTCTTCTGTAATAAAAATGTTTTATTGTGCTTAGTTGACATTATACTTATGGCTTTCCATTATTGTTTTGCAGTCTTCATAAATGTCATGGACAAATTTTATCAGGATTTGAATTTTGTGATAATACTTAATAATTAAGATTAGCTCTGATCTTTACAAAACTCTAAATACACCTATATTTTAAGATTTACTTTTCAGATCAACTGCATGGGCTAGTTTTAATCCATTTAACATATTATTTACCTTGCATAGCCTACATTTTTTATCTGAACATCTCAATAGTAGGTCAGACATCTTAAAAAACAGTATATTAAAATGAATAGTAACCTTTATTAACAGACTTTTGCCACCCTCCAGAAAACAAATCAGATTTATTCAATGAAACTTAGTTTCCATAAAAGCTTTTTAAGAAGTATAACCATAATCTTGTTTTAATATTTTAATAATTGAATTTCATATCAGATTTTCAGTGTTTTACCCAGAAATTAGGGTAGACTAATGAACCTAAGATATTGCCTTTTCTGAATATTAAATCAATATTATCCTTCTTTTAGACTCAAGCTAGTGTTGTAACATATGTACTCTAACCTTGAATACTTATTCAAAATGAGGACCAGTAAGAGAAAAATTTCTTAACCAGCACGATAAACTTGTTAGCTATAAAAGTTTTCAATTTAAAAATACTATTTTTTTAATAAAATGTTTAAAATCTTCCTTTGCTTGCTAAAAGACTGGGGATATTGTAATATCTTCATATAACATTAGCCTACTTCATTCCAGAAACAAAAAAGGAATATTCATGGACGACCTCTATCTTTACACAGTTGCAGATTTTTTTAATCTCATATAGATTGTATCCACCCTGTAATATCTACCTTATTAATAATACATTTTTAAATACTGCCTGTTCATTATTGTTCTTGGCCTTTCTACCCACAGATATCCTCTTGATTTCTTTAGTCTTTTCTCCATCCTTTATAGTCTATTATTGCTCATATTTTCAGGTTATTATCTATAATTAATTTCCAATTCATTTATATTGCCTTTTTATTTCTAAATACTTTGTATCTTTCCTATTAAGCTGGAATAGATATTTATAAGGAGCTACTCTCTAATTATGGAACCGTGGTTTTTTGGTTACTTAATAAACTGTTACAGTCCACAATTTCTATTCATATTTCCCACTAGCCTATATCTTCCTCGTAACAACTTTGGAGAAATGAACTGCTCTGAATCAACCTATTTTAGGTGCCCTTTTAGTTCCCACTGAAAGCAACTCAGGACACCTGATCCCTATACCATGCTCACACAAAATAAGTCCAATAATTACTTACAACATACTGGCTCCAGCAACTTTTGTTTGCAGTTATTTCTTCTATGATTTTTAGAAACTATTAAATAGATGCTACAATTTAGCTATTTTATTTAATTGCGTAAGTGTCCCGAATTGGGGTGTCCACAGCAATGCAACATTTTACTGTATTTTGCAAATATGGGCTCAACTAGTAACTCATCATAATGTGATTCAGTTATGTATACTGTACTTCTACCAGAAACCACTCCACCGGGTTTTGTTACTTAGTATCTTGACCCAAATGGATTCAAGACCCTGTGGTTCTGTGTTATTAATAACTCTAAAAGCAAGTAACACTCTCTGGTATAATCAGAAAGAGTCGCACTCTCTTCTCTGAAGTTCCTCTGTTGTCTTATTAATAGCTGTGACTATTAATTAATAACTGAAATAATTTAATTGTTTTATGTTAAAAAAGAACTATGTAATGTCACAACAGACATGGAATAGGTAGAAAAAGCAACTGCATTTAATTTATGAATGAGAATATTACAATTGCACTCTGAAAACAAGTAAGGCTTATGAAGCCATCAGAATAGAACACAAAGATAGGAGGGTCATACAAATATGTTAACCTGTTTAAGCGAGATACAGGTTAAACTTGTTCTCTATACGGAAAAAATTACTTGAGTTACTGAAACTAGAGAACCAAGGTCAGAGGAAAACTGACAGCTACCTGGAAGGAGAGAGTAGAAATGAGACAGACCAGACTTCAAAGGAAGAGCAGGTGCAAGAAGGAGTACTGCTACTTATCACAGTAAGTATCATCACAATACCTTGATCTTCCAATGCAGGTTATAACATCAGATACACAAGAGGTATTTTAACAGGATTTAGTTGATATACTGCACAGCTCCACTGAATCGCCAAGGATTTTCAATGATATTTTTTTACTGTGGTATACCATGAATAGAATCTGATTTTAGCACCTAACTAAACAAATTACTCTACTTAAAGAACTCTCTATTCATCAGTATTTGACTTATAGACAGCATATTAATTTTCAAAAAATCTTTCTGCAGAGGAACAGTACTCAGCAAAAATGTTACTTGAAATATGCATGCATATTCTTTTTATCCAGGTAAGAAAGTAGGTATTTAGCTTTATTAGCTAAATATTATTATTTAGAGAGAAATTGCATATTAACATTCTTTTCACATGCAGTACAACTGTGTAAGTGATAATGAATATTCATGACAACTAACACTGAAGCTGTCATCTTACTCAACAATGAATGAAGTTATAATACTTGCTAATGGGTGATTTTGCTCATTACAGTTACTTTTGAAAACAGAGTATCTTTTACTTTCCCATTTTTTTGTGTTTGACAAACTTGGGGAAATGGGCAAATGCTAAAGGTCTGAGAACTGCCATGTAGAGTGACTTCTTATAAGATAATGACAGAAAAAAAGATATAATCCACAAGTATTTAAGTTACTAAATTTCAATCCACAGTTGAAAGTTATTCTTGAAGAAATAACTATATATGCCTTCTTTTTATATGTAGTGCATCAAAATACCATTGCTCTTTACTTTGGATGCTATCAAACTTGCCCAAACATATCTGAAAGGAGCTCAGCTCTACTGAAATCCAAGAACAGTAGAAAACTGGATCTGTTTCATGGGTTAATAAGCTATAGCCTTGTTTGAAAGTAGGTATATAGTAGATATATGCTAAATTAGTAAAATTACAGAATCTCCTGAGTTGGCAGAGATCAACAACAATCATCGAGTCCAACTCCTGGCCCTGCACAGGATCATCCCCAAGAATCACACCATGTGCCTCAGAGTGTTGTCCAAACACTTCTTGAACTAGGTCAGGTTTGGTGCTTTGACCACTTCCCTGGGGAGCCCATTCCAGTGCCCAATCACCCTCTGGGTGAAAAACCTTTTCCTTATATCTAACTTTAACCTCACCTGACACAACTTTAGGCTTCCCTCAAATGCTATGTATTCAAGATAGATACATACTGAATAGGCTTTATATTTCTTAATTATGTGGTGAATATTTCAGAAAAATAAAAAATATTTATATTTCAAATATTAAATTATAAAACATAGATTAGTCTGTTCAGAGAAACTTTGCACGACTTAGTATGATGAAATGATCTGTCTGACACCACCAAGACAGCATTGTTGCATGATGCACGGTAGCAGTTTGTTAAGAATTTAGCCAAAATAAGGAAATAATATTCTCTTTACTTTTCCTAAAACTGCTTTCAATTTTGCAATATAGAGCCTTCCTCATTCAATATTTCTAAAATAAAAAGCATGTGCATATAGAAAATTAGGTACTTCACAGTAATCAGCATATATGAATTATTATGTTAAATGTGTTAATAATTTTTTTTCTGCAGAGTAGGTTGATACAAAACTAAGCGCTTTTTCTTTCTCCTTATTTAGACTAGTTCAGACCTGACACCAGACCACTGCAGGGACTACCAAGATTGTTCCAGAAAAGGGAATGCACCAAAGATCACTCCTTGCTTAATCTGTTACACTTTTCTTACAATCAAAATTACCTTTATGTAGTTGAGCATTCAAAGAAAATGAAAATTCAAACCTTTACAAATGTCTTGAATTCTTCTACTTTCTCACTGGTGAGCAGCAACTTCTTCTGTAATGTTTCCAAAGCCTCTGCACTCTGTTTAGCCAAGCTGTGTAGCTGATCAGAAGCAGCAGTCTCAAGTTCAGTCATAGCACGTTCAGTCTCAATCATTTTGCTTTCTAGTTTGGTAAGCTTGAGATCCTGAAATACATCCACAGAGACACAACAATGCTATGATAAAAGCTGATAAGGAAGTTCACAAGTGTATGAAGAAACCTTCCACACCGTGCTTGACATCACAGAATATTTCACTTGCAACACATAAAATGTAATTTCATGGCAAAAAGTAATCTCACTTTCAGTTATTATGTCCATGTTTCAGTATCTAAATTTCAGAGATGTGACTGAATCAGATGAAGAAAAAGGTTACTATTATTCCGCTCTTTTCTCCCTTTCTGTATTTAAAGAGTCTAAGCTGATGACCCTGCAACTTTTCATTTGAAAGTAAGGTATGAAAAAGTTTCACAGTGCAGCCATCACAACTTTTTCCCCATTATACCTTTTTCCCCAGCTCATCTTTAGCCTTGTGATACATCTGCTCATACTGAGACTTTTCTTTCGTAGCTACATTAAGTCTTTGTTTCAGGGAGTCAATGGAAGTTTTTTTTCCTGAACAGTCTTCAGCCAGTGCCTTTACCTGAAATAATGAAAGACCAAGAGCATTGACTCTCAACATGTATAACTTAAAAATTAAATAAAATCAAAACTAAGCCTACCTATATTACATTAACACACTTTTGCTATATAGTTCTATTGAAATACTTTTTTCAGAAATTACAGTATTTAATAAATCTCTACTGCTGCTCCAGTAGAGACCTTTTACCATGAGTTTTGACTTGTATTAAATATAAAGAGCTCTTCATCTGCAGAGCTGTTTGTTTATGTATATTTTAGAGTTACAGTACTTGCAAAAGGGAGCCACCCACAACTGCTACTCATTTCTTCTGTTAGAGGGAAAAGCATAAATTCAAATTCAGCCAAGAAAACAACTATCTACATGTTAATAGTCTGTAAAGTTTCCTAGATAATTATTATTTAATCTAAACACTGATTTGACCAGTGCTCCTGATAGTATTAATAATCATTCAGCATTCCTGATAGTATTAATAACAAAGTTTTCCTGACAATATCGGTAACAGGGAATTTCTCTGATCTTTTGCTGAAGATAATGTAAAATTTATCAAGCTGATTTTCCACACAGAATAATCAAAATAACAGATGGGATTGGACTTCCTGGAAATGCAGTGCTTAAAATACTCAAAGAAAATCATTAAAACACATCATTCCCTTCCAAATCTTTTATCTAAAACCAAAACCAAGTATTTCTCTCATGTCATACTTTAGCTCCCTTGCTTACTTATGCTCTCACTTTCTGGCTGTGGATTTCCTAATAACACCTTATCTTCGGCATGTAGGGTAAGACAGTAGCTCTCTTTAGAACTGAAAGTGGTATATGACTGCAAGCAGAGATAGTGTTTGTAATATTCAGCAAACACAAACAGAAGCAATTTGGTAAATTGTTTATTTCTATTTTGGGGTTGCAAGATGCATAACCTCACAAAAAAACAAACAACATAATCTTTTTCTGACATTAAAGACCAAAGTGCAATACATCAGCTGCATATCACAGAAATATGCCAAACCACACATAAGTTCTCCTGTTCTCAGTGAAATCATCCTAAAATTGTGCAGGATAAAATAATTTGCTATAGAAGTCAAGAATTACCTACGCAGATTACAATTACATTAAGCTAAGAACTGTGAATCATTCATAACACTGCAGTAGAAAACAGATTAACATATTAAAGCATTTAACTACTATAGCCAGGAGAGATGCATGGTCTTCATTAGCATATGTCATGTAAAATCGCCCTTGTTTCAGGTCTCCTATATTTTATGAACTTACAGTGCATAAAACTAAATCCCACTACTTACAGCATATCCTTGCAACTATGTGTTCTGAATACTTTAATATTTAATTACACCTCTAATGAAGATACATTAAATTATGCTGAATTCATTCAAGCTATCACCATATAGTGATTTCATACAAATTATAGTGGAGGAAATTACACACTTAAATTAACTTTATCTTGTTTGCTTAAAGCAATATATTGATTTAATATGTATAGTGTGTTGAAATAACTTCTGTAAATCCACCAGCTTCCGTTTTTCCTAAAACTAGGAATAGCAAGAAAGAAGTACCTTTTTCTCAAGACTTTCCAGTGTTTCATTTGAGGTTTTCTCATTTTCTTGACTTGCTTTCAGATGAGACTTTAAGTCTTCTATCAAATGTCTTTTCACAGTAACGTCCCTCTCCAAATGAGAAATTCTACAAGGGAAGAAGTCAGACTGCATGACACTCAGAAAATTTTCTTAAGATGTAATTAAAAAGCATAAATGCAGTAGACAAACTATTATTCCTGTAGCTTTAAAATACTTTTTAAAACAAAAGCTGATGCAATTCTTGCAATTTACCCCATTCTCAACTACTAAACCCAGTTTCAAACTCTTATTAAACAGACCTATTTCTATATATGCAATATATTTGTGATTTGCTTTTTGCTTGCTGAACTGAAATGACAGTAATTCTTAAACTATTACCAAAAAAGGCAAAAGAAACCTGCTGAGCATGCAAAATTTAGTAATTAAATTCTTTTGATGTCTCAAGCAATCATTCAAACACTATTTTGTATAAAATTATTTTCAGAAGAAAGTGAAATGGGGAAGTCTCCTTTCATCCAACTAATACACAGAAATAGATGAAAAATCTCCAACCCTATATGTCAGATGAGATAAACTGCAAAACCTAGAAATAACATCAGCATTTGTCAGAAAATTCTCAAATAAAAAAGAAACTCTCACGTAGTACAAACTAGTCTATCCAGTGAGAAATTTATGCCTTATACAGTACTTCCACTATCATGATACAAATTAATATTTTAAATACAAATATAAGCAATACCTGAACATGTTTAGACATCTAGATTTTTTTTCTAATGAAAGCAAAATGAATGATGGCAATATGTTCAGGAATACAACATAGTTAATACAATGTCAATACCATATTAAAAAAAACCCAAGAAAACAGTGCATCTAAAATTTTCTTCAATCTGTTTCACCCTAATAATAATAATGTTATTTTGGTGATTACATATTACAACTTATGAAAAAACAGTATCTATTTTTTAAAGAAACCATGACATCCAATAAGTATTTTAAATTTAAAATCTCATGGTGGAAAAATTCAGTTTTATTTTGAAACAGAAAATAAACCATGCACACAATATAACCATTTTAAGCGCTATTTTTGACATGAACTAATTTCAGACAAGTAAATTGCATTCTTTCTACAATTAAAAAAAAAATTAGAGCAGTTAAAATTCTGGGACAGACAAGAAATTCACAGATACATAAATAGCTTTTTTATACTTTTTATAGTAATATAATTGAATAACAGATTTATATCAGTTAAGGTAGGTAGAATAAAAATCTCGTATACTTGACATATTGTGAATTTAAAAATGAGTAGTAAACCTTAATCAATTCAAATAGAAACAAATACAACTGTCTTTTTGAACTTTTTTAATGAATATAAGAGTAGCTATTTAATCTTATTTAAGCATCCGAACCTTGACATGTCTCTTAGCCCCTAGGCAAAGAATTACTGAATTTGAAAGACTGTGTTAAACAGTGCTGAGGAATTCATTTTGACTTACATCAAGGATACAAAGTCTACTCTAGAGTCTGAGTTTTGATTTAAGGTATTCTTACTGCAATACAGATACTGTAGTTAGTTAGTCACTTGTCAGTTTACCACTTTAGCATCTACTGTTGTAGTTTCTAAAAAAATCCCTGTACCAGTCTGCAAGACTGCAATAAAAAGAATACCACATTTTCTTAAAAATCTAAGAATGTTAAACATTGTAGCAATTCTACAGCTGTCACTGGGTGGCACCAAACACAATGGATAGAAGAGTGACCGTACTTAGTTTGTAGTTCCTGAATCCGTTCTTCTTTTTCCTGGACTTCGTTTTTTAGTGACTTAATGGTGGTTGATTGCTTAGTGATTTCATTATTCGAATTCTATATTGAAAAATAATAAAATATAAACAAAGCAGACTGAATATGATCACAGTCAACAGGAAATTTTGAAATAATGAGCCAAGTAAACTTTCATGTATTTTATGAAAGTTCTTAGAAATTAACTGGTGCAAAAGGAGCATTCTTACTTTCTAGAAACACTTAAGTAGAAGCATATTCCTTGAAAATATGATAAAAATCAGTAATTTTCCATTATTCTAAATATATGATTAATGGATGTTCCCCAGGGCACCTGCGAGCCCAGTGTACCTATCAGGACCATGTTTTCTCTTGCATGACATGGTCAGATGAAAAGGTAACAGAAGAGTAAAACTGGATCTTTATTTGAACTACATCTTTGAATGGCATAGTTCTACAGCAAAAGAGGCCTACATCTATATAGAAAGAATGTCCAGTAATTCCTTTCTTGTGCTTTTAGAAATACAAGACAATATGCAAGAGTGGTTGTTTTTATGTAGCTTCAAATACAAAGCACAAGACAGAGACATGTACAAATTCTACATTTCAGTAACGTGCAGGTATGACCCTAACATTCAGACATATGTAATTCCAGTGAAGGAGAATTATACAGTTGTTGGCCATTCCTCATTGCATACAGTAAAAAGAAAAAAAGGGCCTCAATTGCTCCATGCAAATACACATATCATCTACCCAAGATTTAAATTCAGAATAAATTAATCAGTTTACAGAAATAAAAATATGAAATGTAACTAAGTAGCCATCTTAGCAATCTGAGCATTAGCTTGAATGCCATTGCTGAAAATGGCACATGGCATAGAGAGATTTCAGAACTCCAAAAGGTGTTGCCAAAAGATACGTACATGTTAAGCATAAGCACAACGTATATGCATACATCTATGTGTACAGGTTCAGATGCTGTACAACAGCTTTTTATTCACTATGTATAAATAATAAGCAAACAGATCAGACATGCTGTAAACAAAGATACTTCAGGAGAATTTCTCTGCTCAGTGCAGACTTGTAACGCCTATTAACATTAATGGGAGTATTGTACATAACTCTGTGACTCTCAAGGGGAGTATATATTCTTGTGTGCATTGTTAGATGTAAAATATTGTTCTTAATAACTTGTCTAGTCTATTTAGTATTATTATAATGTGAGGTATAACCAGATAATTGTTAAAATGATGTATGCTAGCAGAATATTCCTCAGTTTCCTGAGACCTGTCTGTGGAGGTTGAGCTCCATTAATGTAAAGCACAGCACCCTGTTACACAGTTACACACAAGATGTGGACCTGAACACTTAGGTGGGCCTCTGCACATGCTCAAAGGAAGAGACATATGATTGTGCTATTTCACTTTCAAACTCACCATCCACACTTAAAACATTTCTTTCTATTGGCAAAGACAGCAGGAGCCATTTACATACAACATAAACAAACACTGTGAAGACAGCTCTGAGGAAAAAAAACAACAAAACCAGGTACTTCAAAATTTTGAGCTATAAGGAAAGCTTTTGCTGCTCACACATTCATATATTTAGGAGAGTAACTTTGTATCTCCTTTTTAAAGAAGACAGTTAGTCTGGAACCATAGTTTTGTTCCAGGCAAACAACTTTTGCCAAATTCTTCTCTAAAAAATGACTTGCAGAACTTAAATCAAGTTTTTAAAAATCTTAACTTTATTTAAGGGTAATTTAAGTAGCTCTTGAGGTCCTTACCATCATACAATTCAGAAAACAGTGAATTTACTCTATTACTCTGTATTTGGGGTCACAGACTATTTTCACCTAAATACTATTTTGCATACAGGGTATATTTTTTCATCAAAAATCACAGAATCACAGAATAGTATGAGTTGGAAAGGATCCACAGGGGTCACCAAGTCCAACTCTTACATGAATGGCCTGTATGGATATAATATATTTTTAAAAAGGAATTATTAGTATTTTGACATCAGATTTATTGATACTTGCTAAATGTTTCCTTTGCTACAGAAACAAAACAAATTTTTATTTTATATTTTTCAGCTATTTATTTTGCTGTTCAAATGTAGCAGACAAATAAATAGGCTTGTAGCATGGGTGTTACTCTTAGACTGTTTAAAAAAAAATCCCCCCTTTTTAAAATTTTTCTTACTTGCATAGGGCAACTGACTATTAGGTTTCTTGATAATGAAGATAGTCATCTAAAAGGTACAACCCTAATTAACAGAAATTACCACTCACCAGCAACAGAGGCAGATTAGTCCATCCTAAATCTAAAAACAACACTCAAGAAGTCAGTGTGTATGGTTTCAAGACCTCTTTCTCATAATTAAAGTAGGCCAATTTATGTGCCTTTTCATGACTACTCCCTGCTGGCCTCATCTCTTTATCAATGTGACCTACCTTTACTAATCCCTGAATTCAGATGTTAGGCATCCAGTGTGCTATAGCCAAGATCTGTAATACCATGATGGCCATCAAGAGCAAAGGGGTCTGAGCATCACCCACATTTGTGTGTTAGCACAGCTAATCCAGTATTTAGGGCCAGCAATGCTGCCCATGCAACATGGCCTTTTCTTCTACCTGATCCCTTGGCAGACGTCTTACTACTCTGCCCTTTCTTCTAGCAGCAAGAAACTGTACCATTTTGACCTTTTCTCTTTCCTCTACTATTCAACAGAAAATGATAGGAGAAAACAACTTTACGACATTCTGTTGCACATATATTTCCTCCAGTGAGAAGAGAAAAATAATTAGTATGTTTGATCCAGGCCACCTGCTGAGAAAGCTTTCAGAAAAACACAGTCCAGTATCTACACCATTCACAAGTAATAGAATCACTGGAGACTGAAAAATGACATCATGAATAAATTAGTATTTTCCTACCAGTTAATCTACAAAAATACAAATTTAAAACAATAAGTGTTTCTTTGAAGACAAAATCAACAGTGACATATCAGTAGCATAACACTGTAACAGAAGCTGCCCCATTAGCTTAAATTCTTTGCTCCCCTTTCACAGATAGCTTTTGTTTTTCTTTGTTAAAGGAAGAAAGGAATCAACACAATACTCGCTGAACTAATTTCACAGCACATTACAACCAGATGTATTTAATCATTGTGTGAAAACCTAGCAAGATGCCCTGTCTTGCCTATTTGATCTGCAAAAACTATTTAAATTGTAAGTTTTAGTTCTCCTGCTTATGAGTACATTTCTACTTACCATCAAAGGCAATCTAACACCTGAGTTGCTAATAACTGGCTAAGATATATAAATGATAGGTGCATGTGAGTATACGTATGTCTGCTTGACCCAGTTATGAACTACTGTTCATACAAATTATCCTCAGTGCTAGATAATCTGTTCTGTCACCTTTAGTTTGCACTGCAGCTGTTTCATCTCTAAATCAATGTTCTTTGAAGGAGCTGGTGTGGCTTTACTCTTGCCAGCAGTTTGAGACAGGTGTTCCCTCAACTTTAATTTTCCTTGTAAATCTTCCTTCTCCTGTTGCCACTTGGCCAGGTTGGAGGTCAACATCTGTTTTACAAACAGAAAAAACAATCACAGTTTCATCCTAATAATATTTCTGCTTGATCATATGAGATGCTTCTCCATTTCAAAATTCAAGAGGAATGAAACAGTATATATTATCTGTAATTACATTGCATAGTTGTTGGTTGAATTCTCTAGTACAGGCAAAGATCAAACCCAGAAGGAAAAAGAAGTCAACTAACATTAAAAACAAGTAATTTTTTTTAAAGGCAAAATAATTCAATTTTGACTAAATGGATTTGCTGGTTTTACCATGACAAGCAAAAATCATCATAAAAAAACCTGTAACAGTGGTTACTGTTGAAACCTGTTTAGCTAGAGCCTCTCTGGGATTCATCAATTATTTCTACACAGACCATAAAGAAATACCAAGTTGTCTCAGACACCAATGCATATTAAAGGTGGTTAAATGTCAAATCTGTTCTAATGGTGACCACTGTAAGCTCACCTGAATTGCTGTGTTGACAACTGCTATAAAACATACACCCTTCTCTTGGCTTTTGTTTTGATATTTGTAGGGCTTGTAGAGGTTAAAGCAAAGTGGACCAGCTGCACTAAATACCTTCTGGTTGGCTGGTCTTTACTTGTGTGTTATTTCATCCCTCTCACATATATGCACCATAGCCAGAGAACCACATATTCCATAACCTTGATTCTAGTGCTGAAGTACTTAAGTGCTAAAAGACAAGTTGGAGCAGGACAGGATAACAGATGTTAGTTGTTTATTCCACTGGGTAGGTCTTACCACCCTATACTGCAGCCAAAATGCTTCTCATTTAGCAACATAAATGCTAAGTCCAATTAGCAGACAAGCCTTGTTAGGGATTTAGTTCAAATAAATATCGTGAAAACAAACTCTCAGTCTTGTTGCACTTGATTGACAACCAACAAGACTTAATAAATCTTTGCACCAATATATTTCACAAAACTCCTTATAGAGCTAATGTTTTAAGTAATTGTTTAATTTAAATAATGTTGAATGTTGTTCTGCAAAAAGGGAACTGAAATAATCTCCATGCTAGTGGTTAGCTTTCACAAAACTGTAGTCAGCTGGAAGCCAACAATGGCCCAACAATTCTCTGGTCCTTAAAAGGGTAACTACAGTACTATCTTATTATTCCAAGGAATACTGTAATACAGTAATTTAACAAAAGGAACAATTGTACAAAATCAAAACCCTTCTTTTGTGAAGAATTCTGATCAGATATCAGAGAAGATACGACAGCCTGAAAAGACTAAAAGTGTGTTTGATTGTATGCTGGTACAAAAAAAAAATGGTGAAAGAAAGCTCAAGATAGTATTCTATTTCCAAGTAGCTTACTATTAAATTAAAAAATTAGATTTTATACTGTTTAATGGTATTCGAAAAGAACTTTTCATATATATGTATTTACATACACGTACTCTCCCTGGTAATGCTGATAATCTGAAGATCACATATATCCAAATAAAAGAAAAACTACTTATAGTCACATTTATTCCTATTAAGAATGACAAGAGAATGCTTGTAGATTCTGCATTACCTTAAAAAAACCCCACAAGTATGAGAAACTGTATTTAAAGTTAAAACTCTTAACAGCATTTCTTTTGCATTCATTAAGCAAATTTATTAAAATCAATGGGCATTTTACATATGTATCTGAGTTAAGCACTGTTCTTAGTAAAGGGGTTAATCTTGCCATTTCCTTCCGTGTCTGCTTTCATTATCGAAAAAGAAATAAATAGTGTTAATATATTTCCTAATCGACGATTCTTTAGTATAATATACTATTCCCATAATTCATACATTCTCAGAGAAAAAGACAAAATGAAGGCTACTTCAATAAGCAAAACCAGTAGTAGTACAGAAAGACATAGTATAGAAAATATAAGGATTAAGTTAATTTGTCAAGTATAACCAATATTTCTACATGCAGAATTTCATGATTCAGTGTCTCTATAATAAATTATTCATAAAAAGAAAAGCAAGAAGAAAAAAATCATAGCTAGATCAATATCTCTGTTTAAAACTAGAAATGGCCCCATATCTGCTCAAGAGAGCTTGTGACTCTCAGAAGTTTCTTTGGCTACTGCTGCTGCCAATATGCATCAGTTCTAAAATTTCCTGATTGGACTGGCCACATTCTCAAAAATTATAGCAGATATATTGAAAAACTAAAAGGCCTTCACGGGATAGGCACTAAAGAGGACAGTTGGTTGTAGAATTTACTTATGGAGATAGAAAAAAAGAATTTAAAATAAGAATCTACATAAATTCAGAAACAGTATCAGAATGACAAGCATGAAGTGAAAGTAACATATGTATGAGGCAAAAACCCTCAACTTGCAAAAGCAGAGAGACATGCAATTGCAATCAGAGGTATCAAGAATGTTGTCTCTTAATACTTCTGTTGACAATGTAAATGTGCTACAGCACTGATAATTATACTCCCTTACTCTTCTATTCACAATATATTGAATGGTCGTGTGAAAATCCTTTTATCAATCCATGTGCAATGTGAAAAACAACCCCCATGCCCTAGCAAAATATTTATGACTAAAATATATTCTTTGCATTTACTTACTTAAGAAGCAAGTTCATTACCCTGCTGTTACTCACCACTTGCTACATTTTAGGTCAAGCCTTTTTTTTTTTTTTTTTTTTTTTTTTTTTTTTATCTAGACACAGTGGAAGTTTTGTGTGTGTGCTACCATGCATGCAAATCTTAAGTGACAGAGTAAAAAGAATTTACTCCAGGGGAAGAGGTCACCAGGATGAAAGGCAGAATCTTAAACACCAGCTAGACCAGATGTTGATTAAGGCAGGCTACTGCTGTTCCTCTGCAATGTAGAGGCCTTTGTCTGCTGCACCTCCTCCAGAGTGTTTTGGCTTAACAGATGTTTATATGCTCAATATTTTAACATCCATCTATCTTAATCTCCTTGCTCCTGGTATACCCATGACACTCTGTTCTGTTGTTCACAAAGGAGTAAGTGATGAAATCACGGTTTTTATGTAGTCAGTGTAAAACTTCCATTGACTCAGCAAGGCTTTTTACCATAAATGCTCTCTCCAAAAGATAGCTATGTGGAAGGCCAAATGGATTAACATAGGAAGTTCCTGGAATGGCCTATTGCTCCTTGGCATCACAACCACCCTGTGAGGGACTTTGAGCTCAGTTTACAGCAGTCACCCTCCTACTGCAACTGGCATGTATGAAAATAACATTTATGTTGGTAGTGGCTGATACTCCTGTAACACAACCCCATACATTTATATTTGCAAAATACATTATGTAGAAAATATTTCTAGGCAAAATTATAAAACAGGATGTAAATTAGGTATTCTTGAAACCCTTTTTAAGCAATGACATAACCTCATTTTACTACTGATTTTGTAATCCAAATATAACTAATATACTCAGATGTGTAAAAATCCTATGTGCTATGAAGCTTACGATCCTAAAATCCTGGCAGATGAAAACATTGCAACAACTGTAAGAAAACTGAGGTTAACACACTTCTTTTCTCTAAGAACTCTTGCTACAGTAGGTAATAAAATACCTACTGTATTTATTTATTACCTATTACAGTAGGTAATAAAATATCTGCTATATGCATAGATCCTATACCAGGTTCTATATTAAAATTTCACACTCTTTCTATGAAAGTTTTAAAGAGAACTCTGTTTTTTTCACAGTTTTAGCTTGATCATGAAAACTATCAAAATAAGAAGCACTTGTTGTACACATAAAACAAGAAAGAACTTTTCAAATCAAACTTGGAGGCACAGAGTTAGGTATTTATGATTTTACCCACTCTATTAAGTGGTATTATAACATAATGATAAACATATTTACAATATCCAAGACAAATTTATTGTGTCAACTCCATTAGGCTGGCCTTTTTTTTGTTCTCTTGAATCAAAACTTTTCTCTGCCTGAAGAAAAAAAAAGCTAAAATTAATAAAGATGGTATGTAGCTATCTGAAAATATGAAAAGATATATACCAGACTAAAAAGCTAACTGTGCTGCATACTTAATGTGATCATATAGAGAAAAGGCAAATAAGTCCAAATCCTCAATCAAAGTTCTTCTCATGAAAGTGCTCTAAGTGGTTGATTACTTAGTATTCTAGACATGAAGACAAAATATCAAACAGAAGTCTCTGATGATTTAATATCCTAACCCTAAACTGAAACAAAGATACCCCCCAAGCAAGACAAACTTCTAAAATGTAGAACTTATTTGTCATCTGCTGTCCTCAAATTTTGTAAAATCTACCAAATCACTTAGTTGCAATTTTTTTTCCAGCAAAACACAGTTATCAGCAGCTGACTATTTCACAAAATGTCAAATAAATGAAGGTAATATAGAGGACTTTTTGCCTGTGCTTTAGCTAGTTGTTAGACTTCAGTAGCCTTTAGAGACCATTAAGTACCCTTTGGCTAATTGGCCAATGGTAGATTAATCCTCTTTTTATTCTAGCAGCACTATTTTAACACCCTTTGCACTCTGTCAGTGTACTATCTGAATGACAAAATAATATTGTGCATGAATAATAAGCAGAAAAGTTAAATTAACATTTCATGTTTCAGATGCCATACCTATGTGTCAGGGAAAAGAACCCTCTTTTAAAGCCACTGACATTCAACTTTTTTAAACAATCTCGTGTTGACATCTTACTGAAGTGAATCTTCCTAATTATTGCTAATAGTCTATCAACGATAAAAAACACCTTTTCTTGAAGTGCAGTTGTCTGGTATGGATGAACACAGCTCCAAAGTGCATAGTAAAGACAGGCATGACACTTGAGGTGTGCTACATTATTATGAGGTCATACTAAATATGGTTTGCAATGAACAAAGCAGCTTTTAAGGATGTTTAAGGCACAGAAAATGTCAATCTCTCATGAAGTGTTTAAATTAGTTCCCAGAAGAGAAATACAGACATCAGCCTTCAGAAAAGAGGTATATTTCTCATCTCAAGTATTTTACTAAAGAAAA